GTAGTCACCATTATCTCTCTGTAGTCACCATTATCTCTCTGTAGTCACCATTATCTCTCTCTCTGTAGTCACCATTATCTCTCTCTCTATAGTCACCATTATCTCTCTCTCTGTAGTCACCATTATCTCTCTGTAGTCACCATTATCTCTCTGTAGTCACCATTATCTCTCTGTAGTCACCATTATCTCTCTGTAGTCACCATTATCTCTCTGTAGTCACCATTATCTCTCTGTAGTCACCATTATCTCTCTATAGTCACCATTATCTCTCTGTAGTCACCATTATCTCTCTGTAGTCACCATTATCTCTCTGTAGTCACCATTATCTCTCTGTAGTCACCATTATCTCTCTATAGTCACCATTATCTCTCTGTAGTCACCATTATCTCTCTATAGTCACCATTATCTCTTCAGGGGTCTCTGTAGTCACCATTATCTCTCTATAGTCACCATTATCTCTGTAGTCACCATTATCTCTCTGTAGTCACCATTATCTCTCTATAGTCACCATTATCTCTCTATAGTCACCATTATCTCTCTGTAGTCACCATTATCTCTCTCTCTGTAGTCACCATTATCTCTCTATCTATAGTCACCATTATCTCTCTATAGTCACCATTATCTCTCTGTAGTCACCATTATCTCTCTGTAGTCACCATTATCTCTCTGTAGTCACCATTATCTCTCTATAGTCACCATTATCTCTCTGTAGTCACCATTATCTCTCTGTAGTCACCATTATCTCTCTGTAGTCACCATTATCTCTTTCTCTTCAGGACGTGTTCGAGATGCGTTTCGCTAAGATCCCAGATGAGGGCCTGGACGCATCGGTCCCCTCTACGACCCCATTGGTCAGTAAAAGCACAGCCTCTTCTGACAGCAGCAACAACTCCTCCTCCGACGAATCGTCCGACTCAGAGGAGGAGCGAGCCACGCGATTGGCTGAGCTACAGGAGCAGGTTGGTGCTGCCGACCAATCACAGGTCAAGAACATCCTGGTTTTCTTCTTTTTTAATATCATTGTACATTTATGAAATTCTGTTGATTTAATTTATATGGAATAGTTGTTTTTGATGTAAATTCTGATCATAGTAATGTGTGATTAGATCCATTGGTAGATAGTTATCCAGCTAAAGGCGTTTCTAAGTGTAGCCGGGAGGTTGAAGGTATTGATAATCAGTCTATCCCACCAGTTGAAGGCGGTGCATGAGCAGCTGGCGGTGTTATCCCAGGCTCCCGTCAGCAAGCCAAAGAAGAAGAAAGAGAAGAAAGATAAGGAAAAGAAGAAAGAAAAAGACAAAGACAAAGGGAACAAGGGCAAGTTGGAAGAAGAGAAGAAGCCCAAGGCTGCCGCTCAGCAGCCAAAACCAGCCAATCAGAAGAAAGCGCCTGCTAGGAAAGCCAACAGCACGGTGACCGCCACGAGGTAGGTTTCTGCCTTTCAGTTTGTGTGTTCCCTTATTGCAAAGGTTCCCTACTCCCTGTAACTGCAAGCCTATTTCACTGCACCTGATGACATGTCCTCAACTGTCTGCTAAATAAAGAATTGTAAAAACAAATATGTATCTCCTATAAATACACAATCAACAGACACATTTATACACATGCACACCAGGGTTTCCGTTAGGATTTATTCTCGCCGGCCAAATGTCCAGACAGAATTTATTTTACTGGACAAATTTGAAACGTACCGGTCGTGTTTCAATAATAATTAAAA